CACCAACCCGCCATAAATGTCTCAGAGAACCGCGCACATTCCCCGACGCGCGTAGCGACCGGCTGCGCTCCCATCATCCTCAGAGGGGTTTCCGCACTACCATGCCTTGCGGCCCACATACTGACCGTCCGACCAACTGGGTATGGAGGGCCGATACAGCCTAAGGCTTGCCCTCCTCAAATACGGCAACCTGTCAAATCTGGACAGGACGGCCTTTCGGGCCTTTTTTATTGTCATTATAGTATTACGGGGAACCCACCCGGTAGCAGCCACATCCGTGCTCAAGCCTCCAACGAGGGAACATGCGGGAGCTGCACCCACCAGCAGGTGCGATACGCCTGCTGCAGCAGGAGGGCGATACCGGCCAGGGGTCAGCCTGATGGTAGCATCAGGACCCAGGGTCTTCGATGGGCCAGTCACTGTCCCTCCCCTCAGGTGGTGGTCCCCTTCCCCTATGAACAATCAGCAGTCTCTGCTGAATGCCACTGGGGGGGGGGGACCAACGGCATATCTCCAGGTGGAAAAGGCCAAGCTTGCCCAGGAAGGTACATGAGGCCAATGGGGATTGAACCCAAGACCTCCTGAATGCCACTTGCGTGCCTTACCAACTGAGCTAGGCCACATGACGGCGTGCGGGAAAAAAAAAAAAGGAAAAAAAAAAGACAAGAAACCCAACCCCTGTTGGAATTCACATAGAAAGCGACGTGAACTTCCGCTATGGAGCTTGTTTGAAAAAAAAAAAAAAAAAAAGAACTTCCGCTATCTTTGCAATCGATGCTCCTCCGGCAACGAGCTGAGACCGCACCGGCGAGGGGCTCTAGTTTAACTTTGATTGGGTGGATGCCTTGGCACCGAGGAAGACAGGGCGCGATGAAAGGTGGAACGGTCCTCGTTGAGAAGTGGTCTTTGATCCATGGATTACCTATCGGGAAACCGCAGCGTTCTTTGCTCTCTTTTTTTTTTCTTTTTTTTCTTTTTAAGGTTATATAGACCTGTCATAATGCTCCCATCCCTTTACCCCTCAACAACTGCCGAAGGGTGCGCTCATCGATGATGAGGAGACGCCTAAGCTTCCGCCGCCCAGCACTCGCGCTCTGGGGTGGAGCGTGAAAGTCACCACTCATCCTCAATCCAGCTATGAAGAGGAGTCGTCCGTACACTCGTAGATACAGGAAACTGTACGACCTACAGAACAGATCCTGTTTAAGTACGACGAGGCTGACTTACGCATCTACACCCCCCATTGATTGGTCGCCTGCGATATCTGCAGAAGGGCCCATTAAAGTTATTCCCCTGGTGAAAACTACCCCCCCTCCCAGCACATGAGGCTGGCTGATATCCCCCGCGGGGACGGGCCCGTCGTTGCAGGAATGCATTTTTATCTGTGCGACTGCACGCGCGCGCAATAACAACAACAGCGTGGTAGCGACAATCGCCACGCCTCGGGGACAAGCACCGCGAAGCACAACAGCACCTGAGCAGCAGGAAGAAAACAATTATTATAGTTAAAAAGAAGAAGAAGCTCCTAAAAGCAGGACAAAACAGAAGAAGAAGGACTGATGACGATGACCAACAAATCCTATCGTTAAATGCATCGAAATTTGCGTACAGTATTCAGATAGTGCACCCATTCCCGCAGTCCGGGTTTCGACCGGCTTCGATCCGATCTCGTCAGGGAGCATTCCAATTCGCCCTTGCCACGCGGCCCACCGCACATCGTCCAAATCAGTGTCGAGAAGAATGAAATTCCCAAGCACAGGTCGAAGAAGAAGAAGAAGCAGAACAGGCAGAAGAAGAAGCAGACGACAACAACCACGACGACGCAGAAGAAGAAGAAGAAGAAGAAGAAGAAGAAGAAGAAGAACGACAAGCAGAAGTAGCAGCAGCAGCAGCAGCAGCAGCAGCAGCAGCAGCAGAAGAAGAAGAAGAAGAAGAAGAAGAAGAAGAAGAAGAAGAAGAAGAGGCAGAGAAACCCGCAGCAGCAGCGGCAGTAGTAGAAGAAGAAGAAGAAGAAGAACAGGCAGAGCAACCCGCAGCAGCAGCGGCAGTAGAAGAAGAAGAAGAAGAAGAAGAAGAAGAAGAACAGGCAGAGCAACACGCAGCAGCAGCCGCAGTAAAAGAAGAAGAAGAAGAAGAAGAAGAAGAAGAAGAAGAAACAGTACAAGCAGAGCAACCAGCAGCAGCGGCAGCAGAAGAAGAAGAAGGAGAAGAAGAAGAAGAAGAATAGTGAAAAACAGTGGCCACATCGACAAGATATTTCAATACTTCTCCGCATGTACAATTCTCAGTTGAAAACGCGCAAATTCCCCGACGCGTTTAGGCCAGGCTGCGCACCTGGCACTCCTCAGAAGGAGAAGGAGAAGGAGAAGAAGAAGAAGAAAAACATGTCGAAGAACAACACGCAGAACAAGCAGCAGCAGCAGCAGCAGCAGCAGAAGGAGAAGAAGAAGAAGAAGAAGAAGAAGAAGAAGAAGAAGAAGAAAAGGAAGTGTGGTTCCCACGCCGCTTACGGTTGCCCCTAGATCCGAGCAGCAGCGCACGTTCTTCTTCGTTCTTCATGGCAAGGATAGCTGTGAGCCCCCACGGTTCGTTGGCCCTCTCCAGTAATATGTGTTCCACACCGGAGCATAGCTTCTTCGCTCTTTATCTCTCTGTTACGCCGGGGAGATTGCACCCAACCCGGTAAAAAAACCGGTAAAAAACGCACCGCTACCAGTGTTCTGAACTTCTAACCCAACCCGGTAAAAAAAAACGCACCGATACCAGATTTCTCACCCAACCCGGTAAAAAAAACCGCGATTCCCAAAAACCGCGATTCCCCCCGTCACCAGATTTCTTCCATTGCCATGCCAACCTGGCGCTAAGTAGTATCTCACATCACTGGCGAGCGTTCGATCCCTGTGAGCCGCTGCATCGTGGTTTTATTTTCTTCCCCTTTCTTTCTTTCTTCGTTTTTGGGGGCGGACCATGAGATACCAGCCCGATGCTTAAGGCTTCCGTGTGATGACTCGGGTTAGCAGATGAATCTAAGAGCATAGTACTCAAAGTCTCAAACTAGGACTTCTTTTAATGCTGAGCTCTGGACGTAATCGCTGTCAGATTCATACAGGTCAAGGTGGAAAGTCGGTCAGATACATCTAGGACAGGCCTAGTGTGCGCATGCCCTAAAACTACCATTTCGTTAAAAATGACGTTTCTTGTCTCTTTAACGAATTGTTTGTATTTCAAAATGGAAGATTTTTGCTGTGTCTTTGCTGTGTTTTTGCTGTGTTTTTGCTGGGTTTTTGCTGACTTCTTTGTATTTCTTTGTGTTTCTTTGTGTTTCTTTGTGTTCCTTTGTGTTTCTTCGTGTTTGGGGAGTTGGTACCGTCGGCATCACCCTCCCGAAGAAACACAAAGAAACACAAAGAAACACAAAGAAACACAAAGAAACACAAAGACAGTCAACGAAATCACAGAAAACATCTTTCCATTCTCAACTACGAACAAACACCCTCCCAAAACACAAACAGAATCACCGAAAACACCGCAAAATTCTTCAATTTCCAACTACAAACAACTTCGTTGAACTAACGAAAAGGAGTCATTTTTAACGAAAAGGAGTCATTTTTTAACGAAATGACAGTTCACGGTCATCCTCGCTCGCACTGGTACCTTCTGGTCTGCATCTGACTTCACTTACCCGAGGTCAAGTTCCACTTGCGCTGATTCTTCATTTCTGGCCACTGATCTTCGTTCTCTATAGATCGGCAACTGAGAATTCGGGTCATTGGGGTTGGGGCTTGAATCCCCCCGCACATCCCTTCCAGAGAGTTCTGGGGTTTGAATACAATAAATCGATTCGATCTCGACGAATGATAATTCGGGTAAGTGGGGCTTGAATCGTCATAACGGCGGCCTAAGAAAAGCGACACCTCCATTAAGAAAGATGAAAACGAGGAAAAGAAAACGAAAAAGCGGGCAACAAAAGACCAGTTGGTCCTTCGGGACATCCATTAGGATGGGAATGATACAGAGAAGAAAGATTAGCACGGCCCCTGCGCAAAGATCACACGCATAAATCGAGAAAAAAAAAAAGTTGGGAAACAGCTGGAAGCGAATGGGAGGAGTCGACCAACCGGTCTAGCTCAGTTGGTACACCCACCAACTGTTGAATTTTTTTTAATTTTATTTTTTTTCGTGTGGTCCGATGGACCACGGATCAGATATTAAACTCATCAGAACAGATACTACACTTGATCTTAGCCAAAAGGCCGCGAAAGGTACTGTTGAAATATCAATCACCTTCTCAAAAAAAAAAAAAAAAAAAAAAAAAAAAATCAATCAGACCCAAGTTCGAATCCAGGTACACAATCAGATGACCCGAATAACATCATTCTAATGGGAGGACTCGAGGAACAAGTGGGGGAGTAGCTGAGAGGGAAGGTAAGCAGAGACACTCACGCTGCACTCTTCATATAGGCGAGGAAATCTCTGAGCACCCAGTATTTCGAATCAGCAGCGCCAAGCAATGCGACAGTGACGATGCTCAGCAGAAGGAACGCGGCCATACAAGAGATGCTGACGATGGATTGCAGTGTATGAGGAGTACTGTCCGGTTTCGATGGCGGATTGCACGCGTGGGAGTGATCGGGGGGAAAGACGCCCGCTTGCGGGAACCCCGCGGGCGGTGTCTGCTGGGCCCCGCCGGTAACGTGCATCGGTGGAACCCCCAGAGGTATCTGCTGCCCTGCGAAGCTCCCCGCCATCACTCCTCCAACGGGCTCGGGGAGGCCTTCGCGGTACTGCTTAGCGTTGGGCTGAGCTCCGAAGCCGCCGCCGCCGCTGCCTCCGCCGCCGCGGTACCCAGGTGCTCCCATACCTCCCTGTTGGTAAGCGTTCGCCATTCCCGCTACACAACCGTCTTCCCGAGTCCTCGATCAACCGCCTTCCTTCTCTTGCGATCTCCGAGGCCCTCCCTCCTTACTCTTGATCGCAGTGCGAATCGTATCGCTAACTTCCACAGAGCCCACACCAGTCCTTGCTCTTCACCTGACACGCCAGTTACCCCCCCCCCCCCCTCTCTCTCTCTCTCTCTCTCTCTCTCTCTCTCTCTCTCTCTCTCTCTCTCTCTCTCTCTCTCTCTCTCTCCCCCGATCTCTCTCTCTCCCGATCTCTCGATCTCGATCTGATCTCGACCTGGATCTGTACGTGAGCTTGTGTTTTGTGCTCGCTAAAACACAGCTTGACAGAAGAACGGGTGACTGTGACAGACGATTTCGTCGGACTGTCACAGAATCACCTATGGGCGCGTGTGTGATAGCTTGAGGGGCCTTCCCCCGGCTCTCCCTCCTTCCCGCGCCTCTGCGCGTCCGTGTGCGTGTGTGTGTGTGTGTTGTCTGCGTGTGTGCACGCGTGCGCGCGATATCAAACTAGTCCTGGTTCAGCCGCTCCAGCTCGAGCGCTCCGGAACATGATGTCGCTGTGACGTATCGAGGCTTTGGTCTCAAACTAGTCCTGGTTCTGCTCTGCAGTTTCTCGGGCGACCTGCTGAGGCGTTGACTGGTGCTCCACGCTGAGGACCTCCGCTGGGTTCTCTTTCGCGCGCGAAAGACCACCCGCGCATTAGCACATTTTAAACCCTTTCACTTCGCGATACCGAACGAGATCGGTATGGCGTCCTCCCAACCGCTTGTTTGAGGGGGGTTGACGGATCGCATTCAAGGGGTTTGCGGGGGCAGAGTAGTCAATCGTGGTTGTGCTGTCTGGGTAAAGGCCGGCCACCGGTGAATTATATTTAGAAAACCTGACCGTCACAGTCACATTCTACAGTCAATTCCCTGTCCAAGGGGTCTGACAAATGAAAGACTTACTGACCTTTCCTTTCTTTGTCTTTTTTTCTCACTGATCTTTCCTTTCTTTGTCTTTTTTTCCACTGACCTTTCCTTTCTTTGGGCCTCGCCGCACCACTGTCGAAAATGCAATTTTCGACAGTTTCTCTTCGCCACACAGGCTGTCCAAGTGGGAGACGGGAAAAAAATTCTCCAGTTCAGAGCATGCTTCTCGACAGCTGCTGTCGAAAGTTGTTGAATCCCCAGCCTGCTACTCCCATGCTTTCGACGCTCCTCGGCTGCCCCGTCGACTTCTCTTCGAAATTCGGTGAGGGGGGGTATGGTCGGGATGGACTAATGCCCGTCGTACCCTCTGGCGCGTTCGTCTTTTCCATCTTGCATTCACAAGTGCGTGCACTCTACAGTTTTATGTGGCGAAGGGGGGGCAAACTGTCGAATGGAGGCTGTCGAATTTGTTCTGACAGCCGTCGAATATTTTCGCCTTTCGACTGTGGTGCGGCGAGGCCCTTTGTTGTTGTTGTTGTTGTTGTTGTTGTTGTATTCAAATCCCTTACAATGCTTCCCAGGCATTTTCCTGCGTCTGGCGGGATCTACTGGGGTGCCCCTTCGCAGAAAATCCATCCAGGCAAACCCGGCCATGCATGTGACATGATTTGTCGAGATATACTTTCTGTGAACCAGCACCTGGGTACATCCTGCCACACACAGCACGCATGCAGTTGCATCGTAAGACACGACTGGGAAACATACTGGTGGTTTGATTGTAGATTTTATTTCAGAGGGCCCAGTGCCCAAAGGCCATACATCAAAGGTAACATCTGGAGGTGGGACTCCAACAGAGCCCTGCAGGCAGCGCTCTGCCTCCACAAATCATTGGTCTCAGATATCTGAGGACTTAGGAAGGGCCTCGCTCCAATGCTCTCCAAATGTGCAAATGAGACTGAATRGGGCCTAACATGGAAAGATACACCGCCATATCTTCTCGTCATTTGTGTGTGTGGAGAGTAGTGGTTAAACCACCAGTATCTCGCCCAACTATTGGAGTCGAGCCTGAAATTGTCTGTGCGTCAAATACAAACGAACCGGTGTGGGCCTCGTTTTGGCTGGCACCAGCCATTTGGTCCGGTACCCTGACCCCCGAAAGTTGTAGCCATATACGAACCGCATATTTGTTTTTCAAACTCGGAAAGTTACTGGTGGTTTAAACCACCAGTACGATTCCCAACTATTTTTTCAGAGTTGCGGATTGCATGCTGCCTAGCTCGGCCGGATCTATCTAATCTTGTTTGCTCCCCATACTTTCACACCTCAGCATCAGTAGAGACCCAGAAAGTTGCCTTTGTTTTTTGTGTTCCTTCTAATATCTATGAATTTGATCTCTACACTACAAATTTCACTTTCCTCTGCCTTGTTCCAGTGAACCGGTGTCGGTGCGAATACCCTTACAAGGGTATCCGCCCTGTTTTTTGCAAGCGACAGAAAATAAGTCTGATTTAAAGTTTAAGTATACCGCATGAGGCGCGTCGGTGTCTGTGGTTTACGCTGCATGAATGGTTGACTAGAGTAGAGAGTGTGTGGGCGCGCAGATTGAAGGCGCGCGTGATCTCTCTGTTTTTTTATGATTGTGAAAACCGGCGCTGGTTGCCGGCCAGATTTCATTTCTGATTAAACTATGATTTCAAGGATTGTCTTGGGGTTGATATGTTTGACCGTGACATGCGCGTACGTGTGGAGGACGGCATCGACGACAAATGTGATCTTGGAAACGTTTCGGTAGATCCGAGCGACGCGCAGTATCCACCTATCTTAGGTGGTCGTCAAAAATAGATCCAACTTCGGACCTAGCGCTATTGGTTACAGTGTCGGACTTTCATCAGAGGGCTTCAATGGTTGAGATCGAGCGGGTCGGTTGCAGGTGGAGATGAGGCCGAGGCCGTTTCTTGGCCCTCGGCGCTGCGCTGGACCGCTCTATATAGGATTCAGTGCATGCTGGTCTCAGACTTGGGCTTAGCCCTACAGGTTGTGGCATTGGACTTGTGAGATGGAGATATAGGGATCGAGGCTTGCGCCCGGAGGTGATAGAGCGTTGGAGCTATTGGAGAGGTTGAGGGGTTGAGGGCCCCGCGGGACTATCCCCCTTAGTTTTTGTTGGGGGAGCCCGATCGCAGGCCGCCTGGCAAGACCGGGGGAGTGTCAGTAGGTCCCTCCTCCTCTCCTCATTTGTTTTTCTCTTTTTTTGTTTTTGTTTTTTTTTGTTAATATCATCTCGCTAAGCTCCATCTGAGGTCAGGTCTGGTGCCGGTTTTTAAGGTCGGCCGTAAGCCCAAGGGCCTGGTTCAGTGGGAACACCCATGAACTGTCAAGGTGCAGGCCTGTGTTTTGGCCCAGATATGAACTTGGTGAGTAAAATCAAATATTTGGAATTGCCTGGGGCCACTCAAATTTTGAAGGGCCGCGGGGTATTACCTCGGCGAGTCCTTTGGGACATACGTAAAAATTGGAACGATACATAGGAGACTAGCAGGGTCCGCGTGGAAGGACGATACGCATAAAAAGGGGAAGAGTTGGGCGCCCTGGGCTTTTTCCCACATTCCAGTTGGTGTCTCCCTGTCGGAATCGAACATCGGCGGAGAGTAGCGTTACGGGGCGCTTGTAGAGCTGCGGAGAGGAGGCACTGTGAATGATACGAGGTGGGCAGGAAGGAGCGAACGTATTGCCTGCATGGGGGGGATCAGTGGACCTGGCGCGCTCTCACGACCGGATGCTTTCGAAGATGAGAGATGTCGGAGCATGGGTACGGGGAAGAGGAAATCGGTTAGTTCACTCGACACTTAACGGAATTGGGTGAGCAAAGAGTCGAAGTGGAGGTTCTAAGGCAAGGCGGGTACGAATCTGCAGCCAGATTGAGCAGAAGATTAATAGACTAGGAGCTAGTATGGAAAGCGGCTGCGCGAGGAGGTATCGAGGGAGACGGATATGGCGGAGGCAAGAAGCCAAGATAGCGATAAACTTTCGATGAATCGAGTGCAGGGAAGTAGTAGCCCAGGGTTCTGAAGGCCGGCGGAGCCAGATTCGTGGTTAGATCAGCGCGAGGGTTAGTGTAAGGGAAGTAGGGAAGAGAAAGTAGTGCGCGAAGGCAGAGAGGAAAATGACAACGACGGAGTGAAGATTACGGGGCTTACTCGACTTTAGCGGAATCGAGCGGGCCAAGGTGCGAAGTAAGGGTTTCGGGCCGTGGCGAGATGAGTGGTAGAGTTAGTTTTGGAAGTAGGACGTTAGTTTGGCCTGAATGAGAGGTTGAGGCTCCGCGTAGGAGAAGGGGTTTCAAAAGTGCCAATGTATCTGACCGCGTTGAAGCGGAAGATTCATTCGATTTTTGGACAGCGTGCAGCCGCTCGACATTGCTATTGATCTCAACTATGCACTACGTAATAGTCGTTTTCTTGGCTTCGTGACGACAATGTTACTCATGTTCGTCGAGCCGCGCACCAACGGGGCAGTTAGAAGTGGGAAAGCTGGGTAGGAATGAGGAAGATGAAGGAGGGACCAAGAGACAATGAATACTTACCTAGCGAATGTATGTTTCCGTAATCTAGCAGAAAGATTCGTCCCGATTTTGCTCATACTATCGAAGGGGGGGTAGCGGGGTACGAGCAGGGGGAGTGGAAACTTACCTTTTGATCGGTGGGTTGCCTATTCTAAAGAACGCATCTGGCTGCATTCCAACGGAAGGCAGACCCCTTCTTACGGGGCAATCCGACAACGTTACGATAGTAAGGTAGGTGCTCGCACAGGACAGCGTCTGATAGTAGAGGTGAAGAGCGGCCGGGGCACTTGCCGAATCCAGACATAGCGGGGATTGACAGATTGAGAGCTCCTTCTTGATTCTATGGGTGGTGGTGCATAGTCGTTCGCTCTGAAACTTATCTGGTCTAGAAGCTGCGCAGTCCGGGTTGGAAGAAGCGAGGGATCAGCAGAGAAGAAGACGGCCAAATGTAGTCAGGCATAAGAGGATTGTAGCGAAAAAAAAGAGGAAAGGAGTACTCACCTGAGCACGACGTCTTCCCTGGTTCCGATAGAGGAATCACGCTCGACGAGCCCTGCAATAACGGACATCGACCTGTGGGCATAGCGG